CACCAGCCAGTGCTCAGACTGCACTGTTCAGAATACTAGACCACTGTTTGAATGGGACTTCTCTGTGGCTTTCACTCAAGCTATGTCTACACTACAAGGTTTTTGCGCAAAAATGGCCGTTTTTGTGCAAAACCCACAGAGCATCCACACCTCAAGCGTGCTTTTGAGCAAGAAAACCTAGTCAATTGACAGAACAGAGAGCTTTTTGCAATGTAGGTATACCTCCTTCTACGAGTCATAACTCCTTTTTGCGCTACAGCTCTTGCACAAAAAGGCAAGTGTGGACGCTCCGGAGGGGTTTTTGTGCAAGAATTGACCTGCGGGGGAAAAAATGGTAGCCTCTTGGCCACTCTGGCCAAGTCAAGCACAACTCTATAGTTCCTGTGTGCTGGCTGCCTTTAAAGCCACAACCACCCTGCATAAGCCTTGTGGCTGGAAATTGCCCAGAGCAGGTGCCTTCACCACACCGCTCTGCTTCAGCCACAAATGGCCTCTCAGCAAGCTCCCCAAAACCCCCCTGGCCCTTCAGAGACCAGCCACAGGGGTCACAGGATCCCCCCTAGGGGAACCAAAAGGCATGCCCCCACCTGGAGTGGTCCTGAAATTGCCACCCTCTTTGAGTTGTGGGGCGAGGAGGCGTCCCTGCAGGATCCCCAGGCCAAGTGCCTCAACACAGAGATCTTCTCCCGCATGGCCATATCCCGGGCAGAGCGAGGTCACCCTGCCCGGACCATGGAACAAGTCCAAGCAAAGGTGAAAGAGCTCCGTCGGGTATGTAAAGGCCAGGGAGCGCAGGGTGCACTCAGGGGCAGGACCCCACACCTGCCCCTACTATAGGGAACTCCACCCCAACCCCTCCAGGATGTGGTGGGGAGAAACCCTCTTCCCCCTCCATCATGGTGGACACTGGGCTGGAAGAGCCTGTACTCCAACATCCGGAGCCTGTCCCCCGAGACGGAGGACCAGGACAGTGGGACTGTCACCCTGTCCCTGGAGCCAGTCCCTGCCAGCCTGGACATCTCCCAGGCCTTTGCCCCCTCCCAAGTGATGCCTATGGCCCTTTCTCTCTCCAACCCTGACCCAGCTGCAGATGACCCTCCTGCCCAACCCTTTCTGGTCCCCAGACCCACCCAACCCTGAACACTTCCCCGCACTCAAGGTGGCAGAGCAGGCCGCCCCACTAATAATCCGAATCCTGATCTCCCCCTCCCAGTCCAGACATCTTCCCTCCTCCTACCCCCCTTCTCTTGATGTTGAATAAAAAAATAAATAAATAAAAATAAAAAAAGACTCATCTGTTTGGTTTGAAAACAAAATGTGTTTATTGGCAGGTCAGGGAAGGGACAAGGAGAGAGCAGAAAGGCAGAAGCCCCTGTTGGAGAGGCTCTGGGGACAATTACTGGGGGGCCTCAGTCCACCCTCAGGGCTTCCCAGATGACACCCCAGAACAGATAGACCTGGCGGGTGGTGGCTGTCCAGGGAAGCTTAAATGCATGGCCCTCGTGGCCATCCTCTGCCACCCACCCCGGGAGAAAGGCCTCCCCCTTGCGCTCCACAATATTGTGGAGCACACAGCACGATGCAACCACCTCAGGGATATTGCGCTCCCTGACGACCAGGTGGGTGAGGAGGCAGCGGAACCGTCCCTTGAGACACCCGAAGGCGAACTCCACCTGCATCCGGGCTCAGTTGAGGCGGGCATTGAACAGAGGCAGGTCCTTGCTGGGATCCAGGTGGCCGGTGTAGGGTTTCATTAGCCATGGCATGAGTGGGTATGCCACATTCCCCTCTATGCACACTGGCATGTTGTGCCAATCCACTGCAAAGTCCCAGTGGGGAAAAAGTGCCCACTTCCAGCTTGGTGCACAGGCTGGAATTACGGAAAACTTGGGCATCGTGTGCCCTGCCCAACCACCCCATATAAATGTCTATAAAGTGGCCCCAGTGGTCCACAAGGGCCTGCAGGACTACTGAGAAGCAGCCCTTTCTGTTTATAAACTGAACTGCTTGATGTTCCAGGGCCCGGATGGGGATATGCGTGCCACTGATAACTCCGCGCAGTTGGGGAACCCCAGGACAGCAAATCCGCCCATGGTTGCATCCAGGTCTTGGAGCCGGACGACTCTGTGCAGCAGCAAGGAGTTGATGGCCCTGATGACCTGCAGAAGGACACAAAGAAACACACAGAACAGAGACTGAAAGAGGGGTAGTGTGAGCCCTTGGGAGGTGGCCATCCTCCCCTGCCCCCCCAAACCCTAGGAGCCCAGAACCCCAGGACAGCAAATCCGCCCATGGTTGCATCCAGGTCTTGGAGCCGGACGACTCTGTGCAGCAGCAAGGAGTTGATGGCCCTGATGACCTGCAGAAGGACACAAAGAAACACACAGAACAGAGACTGAAAGAGGGGTAGTGTGAGCCCTTGGGAGGTGGCCATCCTCCCCTGCCCCCCCAAACCCTAGGAGCCCACCCCCTACGAGCCCGTGACACCCGCTCCGGCAGCAGCGCTCTGAACAAGCCACCATGGCTTTGTCTTTCCCCCCACCCTCAGTCCATCCCCTACAGTCGCAAGCCTCCCCCTTATCCAGCACCATCCCCCCCACCCTCCCCGGCAGGGACTGCAGCCCGCGAGCTCCTTACCTGCATCAGGATGGCCCTGACGGTGGACTTCCCCACCCCAAACTGACCGATAGCTGTCTGGGGTGGCCAGCTTCCAGAGGGCAATAGCGACACGCTGCTGGACGGGGAGGGCGGGTGAGAGTCAGGCACAGAGCTTGAGGAAGGTGGCCTTGTACATTCTAAAGTTGTGCAGCCTTTGCTGGTCCCACCTCTCCAAACTGGTCTCCAGCCTCCAGACCCTCCTGGATATGATGGGGTGCCGCAGCCAGACCGGAGCAGTCGCAGCCACACAGAAGGACACAAGGAGAAGTTCAGTGTCCAAATCCAGCAGGGACAAGTAGGCTGCTGGAATCTTGCTGCAAGAACAGCAGCATGGCCGTGTGGAGCCGTCACATGCCCAAGGACAGCTCAGGCTCCATGGCAAACAACAAAAGGCAAAAAGCTGCGTCGGCCCCAAAAAGCACAGGGCAGACACAGCAGGCACTGCTGAGGCTTAGCTTTGCCAAAGAGGCTAGGAAGCAGGCAGCAGAACAGAGAAGCGGCTTTCCAGGTATGTCCCTTTAAGTGCACATCTCTGGAGGGCTCTGGCAACAGCACTCAAGAGCAACTGGTGACCTCTAGCCCGGTTAGAACCAGATCCGGGTGGCTTTTATATGCGGGAGAGCGTCCAACAGTGTGGATGCTCCCTTGCGCAAAAGCGCATCACAAAAACCGCATCCATCCTACAGCTGAAAGCAATTAATGCAGTACTTTAATTTAAATTTAGAATAATATAATATCAGGATTATTCCCAAGACTGGAATGCATGGGGTTAGGAAACAGTGCAGTCCCTGCCTCCAAACTGGGAGGGCTTTGCGGGACAGGCCAAGAGATGTGATAGATTATTTAGCAAGCCATTAGACCTCAGGAC